AGAAGTAGCAGTCACTCATATTAGCCAGGAGGTGGAGATATTTGGCATTTTATGGACAGCACAGTAACTGTTTTGGTCTGTGTTTAGAAAAAATTATGAAATTTCATTTTGTTTTACTTTACCATGATTTTAGAGTAACTTTATCTGACACAATTCTGAAAGCTTGCTTAGATCCCAAGGGTGAAGATGTTCTAGCTATGACTGCCTAGCCAGCTTATACCAACATTGAGCCCTAGCTGTGAGCATCAGACCAGTACTTATATGACAGGCTGCTCCTTTCTCTTTTGGCCAAGAGAAAGTGCAGTCAGACAGCAAAGTGTCATTTTGTGATATCTAGATTATCCCCATTGCTGATCAGGAAGTTATTTAGAGGATATAATTTGTATTTGTACTATGATTAGTCTCTCCTGCTTGCTGCAGGATGAGCTGTTGCATTCTCTGATATAAAAATGGCTGCATGGAAAGAATTCAATATGAAAAGACCATAGAAAGATTACATCAGCCAACTATAAGACAAGCAACTATAGAAACATACATCAGTAACAACTCTTAAAGTCAGGAGCTTGGACTATGAAACCCAGGCAATGAAAACATGTCCCAGCACTCAACTGCCTCTGTTTTAGACAGGCAGGTGGCCTTTTTTTAGTTTAGTCACGAACTATTATGCTTTCCCTGTAGCTTTTGCATAGGTATAATGAGTAATGTTTGCTGTAGCACAAACTCCCTCTTGCCTTGGCTGGCTAAGAGAAAATCAAGGTCTGAGTGATTATCTATGACCACTCTAGCTAATAAATTCAGACTAGTTTTTTGGACCACCAATTCACAGGTGTATCATTTATGACTTACTAGTGTCAGAGACAAGCTTCAGACCACCTTTCTAGTTGTATTATGGCCACTGTGGGAATTGTAGCTCATAGTGTAAGCATAAAGAGGGGGTAGATTATCCCTCCTGGAAGTTCTCTTGAAAAACCTTTGTTTGTCTCATTTTGGAGGCTTGTTGGTGTTCTTCTTTTCTTTTCTTTCTTTTTTTTGTGGTACTGGGGATTGAACTCAGGACCTTGAGCTTTCAAGGCAGGTGGCAGAACCACTGAGCTAAATCCCTGCCTGTTGGTGTTCTTCTTAAGGTGATATGAGGCATTAGAGGGATGGCTGTTTTAAATCCCTAAAAATTACCCTAAGTCCACACAATATAGTAATGTGTATGAAAAGGTGTATGAAAAGGTATATATAACAAGTAGATATATAACAGGCAATACTGTGGTGCAACATCACTTGTGTTAGGAACCTAACCACATTTACTACAATAGGAATGGGCCAATTTGTATCTCTTGAGATGAACAAATCCTTTTAGTAGAGTGAAACCATTCCTGCAAAGAAAGTTGAAGAGAACAAACTGATCACTGTAACAAGAACAACCCCAAAATGAGCTCCCACTCATGATTGACTAGATCTTTCTGACACGATTATAATGAATTCTAGCACATCTTGTTGATGTGGGGTCAAGATCTAATTTTTGCTAGACTAAAGGTTGGGGTTAATGCAGTAAGGGAAACAAGTACCAGAAAAGACCTGTAAAAGGAAATCTACCTTCTGTAGTGTTTAAAGGAACAGCGATTACATTTTTGTCAGCAATGTTAGGCAGGGGTACCACATGCAGCAATCAGTTAACTTCAGAGGATGGTTGTGGGAAAAACGTATAAGAGAGTTTTCTTTTTCTTATGTGGTAAATATGAAGGGAAAATAATAGGATAGAGATAAAGGATGTCAGTATTCTAGAAAGCTTCTAAATGGAAATAACAGGCAAGATTAGTAGAAGAGTAAAGGAAGAGACAAGGGTTCCAGAATTGCAAATTAATCTTGTTCTGTCAACTGTATAGAAACTGTTCACTTCTGAAGCGAGCAGCTTTGGGATGATTCTTAAAGATCCAAAGTTTAAGGTCTCCAGACAGACTGGATATGCAGCAATGAAAGTGAAGTGATGTATAACTTTTGCCCTGGGCACCATGAATCCAAGGATCACCACTTGGGAGTGATAAGGCCGTGTCAGTTGGTAACTGTACCCATTTAGGTCCTTACTGTCGAGAATGAAGAGAAGCTGTTCCCTAGTGTCTTTTCCGTGAAACTAAACCTCCGGGTTTGGATCGTACAGAGAAATTTTTGGAAAGGTAGCATTGGCAGATTGGTGATGCCGTTGAAGGTATTTATGGGTCCCTTGAATTAATCATATCTGCTTGTGACATTCCCAAGTACACAGGATGGACTCTTATTAATTTGTAAGTGAATTTGTGGATCCTAAAGGAGGTTGTTCCTGTAGACATGAAAGCTAATGGTAATACTTTAGGTCAAGGAAATCTTAGAGCTTCTGACAGCTTTATTAGTTTTAGTGTTAGAATTCCGTTAATTCTGTCTACTTTTTATGAGGACTGTGGACAATAAGGACAATAGAGTTTCTAGACAAAAGGCATTACTCTAAAAAAACTCCTTAATAACAATGTCAGCAAAATTAGTTCCCCTGTCACTAGACAGATAATTTAGAATTCCCGAAGTAGGAAAACTGTAATCAAGATTTTATTTTTTGCCACAGTTAAGGATTAATATGAGTTGAATTGCACCCTCAATTAATATACTGAAACTTCACCCTAGTACCTTCAAATGTGACCTTATTTGAAACTAGCTTCTTGAAGAAGTAATCACTTAGGTTAAAACGAAGTCATTAGAATAGACCCTAATCCTTATAAAAAGAGAAAATCTAGACACAGAGACAGACACACGTGAGGGGAAATTAATGTGAAAAACCCAGGAGCAGACAACCATCTACAAGCCATGCAGAGAGGCCTAGAACAGATCTTTCCTGCCACAGCACTTCAAAAGGACCGAACTCTGTGCACATGTTCATTTCAGACTCTGCGAAACATTTCTGTTTACCACTCATCCCAAGTTTGTGATAGTGTATTACAGCAGTCCTGGCAAACAAATACAGGGCTGTAGCCTTCTGACAGGGAAAGTTTTAACCTGTCCTGAGATGAACAATCACCTGAAATAGTCTACTGAAGAAGCATTTGTGTGAAGCCCATTTGGAAGTGCTCAAAGAGACCTCAGGGCTTTGGGTTCTGTTTATGAACCACCTTTACAGATTAACCAGGATTGTGTGTTAGCCGGTAAGACATGTTTGGGAAATGTCTTTGAAAATAACTTTAAAATGACCCACATCAGCTGAGCATGGTGGTGCATACCTGTAATCTTTGGAATGTGAGGCAGGAAGATCATAAGTTTAAACCCAGCCTGGGCTGCATAGTGAGCTGAAGGTCACCCCGAACTACATGGAGAGACCTTGTCTCAGAACAACAACACCAAATTACCCCCATCGTTATTGGTTTAATATTGTGGCCAGTTTAGCTCCAGTAATGTGGATAATAGCATGAACATTTTGTGTTGAATTCCATTTTAAAGAATTTGGCACTTCTGGTCAGCCATACTAATAGAATCAAATATTATTTTTAGGCAACAAGTCTTCAAACTTTTTCAATATTTTTATTCCCAATAAGAACTTATTTCTAACAGTTAACAATGATCACATTTAATTTCTCTAAGGAACTTTCTGAGTGATTACAGGAACAATTATCTTGGTTAAAGCTATTTGTTTAGCTTGACAATCAGCTAAAACCTTATCATCAGGTTCTGGCTCCTTGTACCTTGAATAATTCTCCACTTTTATTGTAGCTATTTCTTTAATTTGACAGCATCTGAAAGTTTTTTCATTGTCCAATTTTGTAGGTACTTCTGTGGAGATCAGAAAATCTCTTAATTTCAATGTATTCTAAAGTCAGACTAACCTAAAACCATATACTTACTATAAATATTTATTCATTTATCTTCTACCAGTTATAAATTTATAGGCTGGTAATCAGTAAACCCATCCGACCTGATTTAATGTCTGTGAAAAGTTTATCTCTTGAGGGTGAATTTAATTCTATGATAGCCTATCATATTTGTCAACTTTGGGTTTTATTCTTTATATGTGATCAGTTTACAAACATGATTAAGTTAGGATTATTCTAAGGCATCTCTAGAAGATCTATGTGGTATATGGGTAGTGTTATGGGTTTTTTGTTTTGTTTTGTTTTAACAGAGGCAAGAAAATGTGGGTTTTCATTTTTTTAGGTAAAGGGAAGAGGCTGGGTTTATAATGTTAAAGAATGGACATAAAGAAATGTGCTACAGGAGAATATGGAGCAAGCTAAAAGGAGTGATTTTTGGTTTTTGGTTCTGGAGACTGATCCCAGGGTCTCATGTTAAGCAAGGATCTACTACTGAGTTATCCCAGTGAGTGTTGTTTTTTTATAACACAAGAGTTTTTGCAGCTTAGAGAACCATTAAATTTGGTCATAACTAAACTACCTGAAGTCTTCACATGTTTTGGTATTTCTGTTATAGCACTTAATTAAAGAGATGTCTTGACCACTGGGACTAATAAAAGACTGAATTAAACAACAAGGCCTCTCATGACCATGTAACAGTCAGGATTTCTAGTGCCTATTTGGATGCTTTATGAACAAAAATGGCAGTGGAATTGTGAATCTAAGATCTTGGGAAACAATTATTGTGTCAATTTTTATGCTTCTACACAAATATGTTTCTTTTACCTTGAAAAATA